CTGGGAAACTGGACAATACAGGGTTCTACCCATTTTACATGAGTATCAATGGACAGGACATGATAATGGAAGGGTCTTTGGTCTACACATAAGTGCCTGGAATAGTGAAAGCTCTAAACTTTCATTGAAAATCAATGGCAGAATTAAGGAAATCATCCCATTAATTAAAATCAACATAGAGTTTTGCTTCAATTTTTATCTCATTCGCTTTCCTAATAGTGACCTACTAGTTCACTAATTGTACTAAAATTGCAGTTATCCCCTGAGAATTAAAACTATATCAGTCTAGTAAGTACAAATAAAATATGATCAACCAATATAGAAAATATGTAAACTTTAAGAATTCTTCATACAGTCACAAGAAATAACCATAATTTTCTGTGTATAATGAATACTTCTTTGTCCAAATTTTTGAGAGAAAAATAAGGATGTGTATTATACATGGGTACAATGATTACATATCATGGGCACAATAACAGGTATCCCATGTATAGTGTGCACAAAAACATGGGTGAGCATTATACATAGAAAAATACAGTACTTTACAGTGTGTCATTCCGGTGGCCTGATTTTATAGAATCACACCACTCTGATATGGAATGTTTCTCCACATCTTTACAATGCAGGTATTTCTTCACCTTCTACCCCTCCCCCCCATAAAAGACACAGCGACTTAGGAGTTACAATTTCACCATTTAGAAAAGTTTTTGTAGGAAGTGAAAGAACGCAATAATTATTCAGTACCTTCATATGATTATATTGAACAATACAGCATTTTGTCCAAAGTAGGTGCTAATTTTCTGATGCTCTCCCTTATCAAGGTAATATGATATCCATATCACATAAATTCAAAGTAGGAACACAATAAATGGTAGCTATTAAAAGAAGGCCAAAATTTCAAGTGATCCTTACACTATGTTATTCTTCTGAAAGTTAGACATGATCCTATGGATAAACTGGAACAAAAAGGAATGAGAATATTGATCCTAACCGAAAGATAATGATTAATCCTTGGCATGGATCATGACAAAAAAAAAGGGGGGCAAATAGTAAATGAAGTTTTAAGTCAAGAACTGTTCTTGTACTTTTCATTATATCTTATATGATGAATCACATAAAACATGAAGCAATGGGAATTATTAATATGGAAAAGTGGTACAGGAGCTTAAAAGAAAGGGAAATATGACACACAATTAGTGTGACAAAACATAACATTTTAATGAACTAGATACAAAGGAAATCTTATAAAACACCACAAGACATTGGTGGACTACTTTTTAAAATTGCAAAGGGAAGGGAAGTGGCCCTTCTGGATTATCTCAATGCAGAGCACTTGGAAGCAACAAAGAAATTTCTGTCCAGTGGTAAATGTCTAAAAGGCTCATTATTTTTCTCTGAGTGAGAAATAAATACAGGAGGGGTATAACTCCATATAATATCTGATATTTTCACCACCTGGACTAATTCAATGTCTACAGTGAAACTTAGATACTATTCTTTATATTTGAAACAAAAAAAGAATGACAAGGCCATAAAAACTTATTTTTAAATAATAACTTCTGAAATGTTTGCCTTCCCTAGTTTTATTTCTTAGCTGTCTATAAAATTACTGCAAGACATTCTATAATATGTAAAGAAAGTGATAAATTAGCAACTGTAACTTAGATGGTCAGGTAACTGCCACTTAAATTGTTAAAATGCGATTTATATTTGACAGGAGTACTCTTTACTTCACATTGGATTTTTTCAACCCAGGAGTAATATTTTGGTATAAATTCTCCATATTCTTATGATGAAGTATCTCACAATTTTCCGTTTGATGCTTATTTTTTGCATGTATGTGTATATTTTTAATAGGGTCCCACCTGGTACTCTGTGATATAGGAAAGTCTCCTTTTGTCCTATTAAATTTCCATTTTATTCTTTTCTGTAACCATCCTAGTCTAACACCATTTTAATCAACCTATTCATAGTTCCTCTCATTGCAGGTTTTTTTCCCTCTTCTCAGAGTATAATCAGAACCACACTATTTCCCCAAGGATAAGGCAGTATCTTTCAATAGGAAGCCATACTCCCTAATTTTTTTGATGTGAGAGCTTGATGACTTCACTCATTTAAGTTTTCCCCTAAGTCAACATGATCAGTTTCCCAATAAGAACTCCATATTTTATATGCAAATATGATACTAGTGACCAATGGCCTAAAAATTCAAAAATATAATAGCTAATGTGTATTAAGCAATTACTATTTGCTCCCTGAAAAGCACTTCATATGCATTTTCTCTTTTAATCCTCAAAACCACTCTTTCAGATAAATGTTATTGTTCTCCCTGTTTTTGTTTCTTTAACAGACAAACTGAGATAACTACAGATTGAGTTATGTATCCCAGATCAAATAGTGGATAAGCAATGAAGCTAGACTGGATGTGAGGCAGTCAAAAGTGGGCATGATCACCCACAATATGTGTTCAGATAGACATGGCAAAAAATTTCCCTCTGCTAACAGCAAACATGCCACTGTTTTAATCTGAATTCCTAAGCAATCAGATACTATAGAATTATCTCACATTGAAGTGAAAATGCCCTAAGAAACTGCCTCTCATTAAAATGCCAACATTAGTGTTATCAGAACCTTTCCAGCTGGTCTGAAGGAAGCAAGTTTTACCAGCCAGCAGAGTATAATCAGAATCAAGATATCTCCTTAGAAGAAGAAATCTAGGTTGAAATCTAGGTTTTTGACTATGTTGGAAAAGTGTAGTCAGAGTAAAAAGCTTCCAAATCTTCAAGAACTTCAAGGCAGAAGAGAGAGACTCAGAGAAACCATGTTCCCTACAGGCTATGTATGTGTAAACATGTAGCATATGATAAGAGAGGAGAGATGCTCCTTGTTTTTAAGCTAATGATTTATTTAATTCTCTTCATAGGAGGCATCAAATAATATTGATAAAGATACAAAAACTATTGGGTAGGGAATAATCTGTGCTTTAATAAATTTACAGTCCTTATTGAAGGTAGCAGTTAAAACTAAATTTTAAAATCATTAGTTTTAGAATAAAGCAAAGGGATAATTTCTCTTTTGGACATTGGTGGATAGTAAGTAATTTAACATAAATCACAAAATACAGTCTAAATACAATTTTTACCCATTGTGAATCATTTTTACATTATTTTAGTACTGGGTACCACTAAAGGACAAAGTGAATACTCATAGACATCTCTGATGGCAGCAAACACAGATGCCACTACAAGTGCAGCATACATTTAATGCTAGAAATACCTTCATAGGCATAAAACCATGTTTACCATTTTTGATTGTTTGCCATTTTACATTTTTATTACTACACAGCTTTTATGGGGGGGTAGAAGATTTTTGGTGAAGTTAATGAATAGGTGATCTTCAAATAATTATTATTGGACTATGGGTAAATCACTCCTTGTACCTGAGTTTTCTTTTGGAATGAACCCTAAAATGAAGCAGTTGGACTGACCCCTAAGCTAAAATCCACAATGCTATAGAGAAGCCCAAAGCAGAAAGCAATGTCACACAAAAAAAGCTCTCCATTTAATAAAAGGATTACTCCAAACTAGTTTTCTTGGAAGACTACACATATCTAGCAAGGGGGCTGGGTTAATATCAAAAGACAGCTCACTACATGAAAAATTTCAATTCTTTGGCCAAACAAGGATCTAAATTTAGCAAGTGGTAAGTACCATATTGGGAAAGATGAAAGGAGATCAAGAAAAATGAAGAGAAGGAACAGGAATAATCAGAATGAGAGAAAAGTTGGTTCACATCACTCTAGCATTACTCGTAACAGCAAGTACTTCAAAATATTACTTGAGTATCAAATAAAACAAAAGTCATTTTCTGGCTGATCTGCTCAGTCTAAAAGTTTATGACAAACCGTAGTTCATTCCATGTAACTAAATTATCAAGCTGAAATTACAAAACAGCTAACCTGCTATAGGTTCAGAAGATATGGCTGGCTGCTCACAGATGGGAGCCAGCATAGGCTGCTCTGCTGCCTTCCAGCAGAGCCACAGTTTTCAACAATGTCAATGGTTAATATTTAAAACTCGGTATATTGAGAGATCATGGGCTCCGACTCTTGTCATTTTCCATTGTCACAAGTTTTAACAGAAAATCGGTCTTTTAAATTTTATATATTAAAACAAACATACTAACCAAGAGAAGCAACTGAAGCCAAAACTATATCACCTGAAAAATGGTAGGAAGCTGTGAGAAAATCTATTCAGCAGGGTCATAAAATTTTACTCAGATTTTCTTTGTGCATTTCTCACTGTGAACATCTCCAGTTCTCTTAATACCAAACTGAAGACTTTTTTTGGAGAAAAAAAAAATCAAATCTGAACGCTTTCTTATAATATTATAAAGTTCACAAGTGCATTTAAAATACTTCAAAGAGAACAGACTACAAATGCCTTAATATCTATTTGACCTGTAAATTCATTTATGTATTCAACAAGTTGGCCGTATTTTCCTTTTAACAAGTTAGCAAGTGAAGTCGTTCTACATTAGCGGGATAAGCAGGTCACAATCCTTCCCAGCAATTTCCTAGGTTGGATTTTGTAAGGCGGAGCAGGTAAATGGGGGATGCCACGAACAGCGGATGCCAAACCGCGTTTTGCTGTAACATGTGGACAGAATTTTTAGGGTTACGCGTAACTTTGAAACACCTGTATATCTTTAACACGTTCCGAGGTGATTTTAGAAACGAGGACCCTGTCCCGGGTGCTCTGTAAAGTTCCAGTTACTGGGAAGGTAGGGACACTGACGGTGGCGAACTGGCCAGCAGTCTAACTCCCACCTGGCCGCGTCCACATTCCCAGCAAAGACGCCGGACTGCCAGACGGACCGCAGGCAGCGATGGGGAGAAGACCTGGTCCCCTCAGTGGACCGCATGGTCCTCAGTCTCCGCGGAGCCCCTGCGCCTCGCACGCTGCCTCCCGCTCCACTGCCCCGAACGCGCGCCCACCCACCTGGGGGCGCTGGGCAGCCGGGAGGCCGCTCCCGGCTCCCGCCCGTTCTTCCCGGGGCAGCAGGCAGCATCGCGTCGCTGAAACCAAGGCGCCTGGAGACAGGTGCCACAGAGTCCCCGACTCTCCGGACTCGCGGTTCGTGCGCTGGCCGTCCGTCGGGCCCCGCCCTCCGCAGCGCTCTCCCCACCCGGGGAAGCTGGGGCCGAGGTCCCGGGAAACGCAGCTGCGGCACTCAGGCCGCCCGACCGGGCTCAGCTTTGCAGGGCGCCCGAAGGAAGTGAAACTGGTCAAGGGCTTGCTCTTGCATCCTTTTTTAGCCTGTTTTGGTTTCTAACACTCAGTGTTCCTTTCCCTCCTTACCTTTTCACCCAGGATAGTTTTAGAGCTGTGCTACCTGTTACTGCAGCTCTTCTCGTCCAATTCTAGGTCTTCCACCATGCCCCCAACTTGAGTCAGAAATAGGGATATGAGAAGTAGACGTTTGCTGGAAAAGGGGAATAATAGGTACGAATATAAAAAATATAAGTATGAATATAAAAATAAAGATATAAAGATGTAGATGAGATATATACTATTTTTTTAAATAGTTCATTTGGCCCAGACTTTCTAGGTAAGATTCATACATTGTAAAGTCAAAACTGGGCCCAGTACAAAATCAGATATGGATCTAAATAGGTCCTCTAAACAAGAGTGTTCTTCATTACTTTCTTTTCTTTAAAGACTGGAAAAATTCACAGTTGCCCAAGATCCTTAAAATAAATTTTCCTTGTTCTTTCAAAGATCTCTAAATTACCTTATAAAATTTTTTTTTAAAAGGCTGAAGGTCAATTTGAAGATTTGGCAATAATCTTTGGTTAAAAGTCCCTGACTCCCTTTTTAGGAAAGAAACCTGAAAGGAAGGCTTGTGTTGTGTAGCAACTCTTTACCTCATACACAGTCTTTTAGAAATACCATAAATATCAAGTATCAAAATGTTAATTTTTTCACATAACTAGATTTTTTTAAAAAATTATTTATTTTATCCTCACCTGAGGTCATTATTTTCATTGCTTTTAGAGAGAAAAAGGAAGAGAGAGAGAGAATCTTCCATGGGACAGAGACACATCAAATGGTTTACCTTCTATACACGTCCAGACCAGGGATCGAACCACCAACCTAGGTATGTCCCCTGACTGTGAATCAAACCTGCAACCTTTCAGTTATGGGCCCACACTCCAACCAGCTGAGCTACACTGGCTAGGGCTGAACTTGTTTTTATACTTTATAATATAATGAAGAAAACTTGGAGAAATATGTTAAATGTCAGCAAATTTTGAAAACTATTGTAGACATACTTATGTGTTTTCCAGAATGTCCTCTAAACTTATAATTGATTTTAAGTTCATCTCTGTATTTGAAATAATGAAGAAATTTTATCTAATTTAAAAAATAATATATTAACAAGTTTATTGTCTTCAGTGAATGCTTGTTTCCTTAGAGACTTCAGTATAATAAGGTAAAGACGGAGGGTTTGTATTGCAGTGTACATGAAATTCTGGGTGAATATTTTAGGACAGCATTATGCCTTTTTAAACCAACCCAACCTACTGGGGAAACAATGACTTTTTTTTTATTTAATCTTTATTGTATTTTTTTCATTACCATTTAGTCCCCTTACACCCCTGTCCCCAAGCAGTCACCACACTGTTGTCCATTTGCATAAGTCCTTCTTCCTTTTTGCTCAGTCCTTCCACCCCAAAACCTCCCTGCCCCCCACTAGCTGTCATCTGTTCTCCACCTATGAGCCTGTCTCTGGTTTGCTTGTTAGTTCAGTTTGTTCATTTACACATTGGAATTCTACTTGGATGTAAAAAGAGAAGAACATTTTATCCTTTGCAACAGTATGGATGGACCTGGAGAACATTAGGCTAAGTGAGATATGCCAGTCAGAGAAAGACAAATGCCATATGATTTTACTTATACATGGAATCTAATGAACAAACAATGTCTTAATTGATGCAATGTCTTACCTGATTCTTTGACCAAGATTTTGTGGAGGAAGGAAGAGACATAAACACTCCAACTTATGCTCCCCAATTAAGCATACAAATCTTCAAAGGCATCCATTCTAGTGAGTCCTGTTGAAATACATAATAGTCACTTCCTCCATGCACACAAAACATAATTAATAGTCTTCAGATGGCAAGTTGTATCTGAAAACTATCCTTATTAACTATTTGTGTGTGTACGCGTGCGTGCATGCGTGTGTGTGGTGTGTAGCATCCTTTCTGGATGAAGAGCCCAGGACTGCAAGTCAGAAGGCTGAGGTTGCCGTGTTCACTCTCCATCTTTCAATCTGGGCAACCAGGGAATAGATATTTCTATAATCTCAGCTAAATGAGGAGATTAAAATAATTATATTCAAGTCTTTGTCAGCTATACAACTTTATGACCCTGTTTCCTGAAGTACCCACAGGAAAAAAAAAGATTGACTATACATTGAACAATTAAGTATATTTCCAGATGCTCACTTTCACTATTTACATCAATATAATCCTGGTAAATGGAAAAATGAAAGCAAAACTATGTTTAAAATTATGGGCTGGTTTTTTACTACTTATTTTAATAAGGGCTTTGTGTTAGAAAATCTTTTAAAATATTTCACTAAAGTTCAAAAATTACTGTAGCTATATATTTGTTTCAGGCACTGAATGAGAACATTGTTCTTGTTCAGAAGTTATGGAGTAATGTTTTAACTCATTTACTTATTTATGCTTTTGTTTCATTATTTGCTATTAACAGCTACTCTGGTTTTTGTTTTTGTTTTTTTTTTAAGTATTCAATGTGCCAAGCACTATATGTGTTTCACAATATTCATGTCATCTAGTTTTTCAAACAGTACAGTTTTAACCCTATTTTACAAATGAGGACTCTGGGTTTTAAAATTTTTAAGTGACAGAGCTGGAATTCAATCCTCAGTCTGACTCCATAGCCTGCCCTTTTAATTAATAATCCTCCGGTCCTTTCAATGTCACATAAAGTCATTGCTAAATATGTCACGGACATCATAAGCAATGTTATACCTATACACTTATCAAAATTGCTTTTGTTTTTCTACCCACTTCCCCAAGCAATAATCTCATAGAAGTGAACATCCATATCTTTTAAAATAGGCATGAACCAAACTCATAATTCATTACAATGTTGGCGCCATTTGGCTGAGGATAGGTAGACACTGTTTTCATAAAAAAAAGGAAAATGTATGGTGATCACATACACACAGAGGTGGTGACTTAAGTCTTACATGCATTCTATCTTTGCCATGCATTTATGAAAAGATATTTTAGAAATATTTTCACTCATTTTTGTCTTCTTCTCAGGGTCAATTTCATCTTTAGTCACAGGTGACTTTATTTTCCCCCCAGCTTTCTCCCTTAAAGAAATAATACTGTCTGAAATCCTGGGTTATTTCTTGGTTCTTATTCTTAGGGAAGAGGCACTTAGTAATTCTCACACTGAGATGCTTCTGACTAGAAGGCCACCAACAGCGTGTAATCCCAGTTTTCTGATTTTACCTGTGTTACAGAAGGACAAAATGCTAGCCACAGTTGGTTTCCTGTTTCTCAATATATCAAACTCTTGGATCCATTGACTTCTTCCCTTGGATCCTTTTCTCGGGCAGCATGTCGATGACTTCAATATTATTTTCCACTTTGCGGAGATTATAAGAGCCTCACACTGCACCTTTGTTCCAATAAGTGGAAGTCTAGGGCTGCTCACTGTGCTCCTCCTGCGGTTGTCAGGACGGACTCCGTGGACCTGGTGTGGGCCAAATTATTTTGCTAATGCTGCTTGCTTTATTTCCTAAATAAAGCATCCGCCTATTATAAAAGTGAAATTGCATTTTGCTTCTTCATGGCTATTTTTTAGTGGAGACTTTTCCTCTTGAAAATTTTCCTCTTGTCCAGATCTTTAGACATCAAATTATATTATTCCCTTAGATTATTATTATGCTTTTTTATTTGCTAGCTCAAAACTATAACAATTACTGGAAAGGTTTGAAGAAATTTCCTACCAATAATATTTTTTTGTTGTTAGTGAGAGACTTTCATCATTTTCTTATCCCTTCTCACATTTAACTAAATTATTTAATACTAATCTATATAAAGGTGGGCCCTGTCAATATATTCACATCATAATCCCCAGAACCTGTGTATATACTACCTTACATTACATGCAAAGTGGATTTAAGTTAAGGTTCCTGAGATGGGAAAATTATTTTAGATTATCCAGGTGGGCCAAGGTAATCACGATAGTATTTATAAGATGGAGGCAGGAAGGTCAGGGAAGAGACATGATGAGGAAACAGAGACTAGAGCAATGTGCCTGTAATATGAAGAGAAGGCTGCAATCCAAGGAGGCCTGTGGAAGCTGGAAAGGTGAGGAAGCAGATTCCTCTGTGAGCCTCCAGAAGGAACCAGACATGCGGGAACCTTGACTTTTAGCCCAGTGAGGCTGATTTTAAACTTCTGAATTCCAGAACTGTAAGAGAATAAAATTGGGTTGTTTTAGACCACTGAGATTGTGGTAATTTATTACAGCAGCAATAGGAAACTAACACATAAACTTAGGGTGGTACTTTGAGTGTTTGGGGAAATTCATTAATAAAATTCTTTTACATTCTTCTAAATAAACATATATGAGAGAACATTCAATTCCCTTTAGCATTAATTTTCTAAGCTCTATGGAGCAATATTTCACTATTAATTGGTGGTTGTAGTAGCTTTTTGATATTCCTTCCTGCAGGGCTGTCGGCACTGTGTACTTGCCTCTGTTCTCTAGTGGTTGAGTAGAAGTGCTGAATCTTTTCTTTCCTATTTGATTTAGGATGACTTGTCGAACTAACCAAGTTTTCTGCTTATACTGCAGCTGACACCACCCCCTCTACAGTCTGGCCTGTGCTAAGAAGTGAAAAGGAGTTTGCTCAGTAAATCTGAGTTTTAAAACCAATACTAGAAAACATTTGAATGTCAAGAAATCCAAAATCTGCCATTTTTGTTTATGGTTGTTTTGAATTTCTTTGTAAACTCTGGTAATTTGCTTCTACTTTTACCCTATAATTATTGATTTGTTTAAGATTTCAGCCCACTCC